TCCCTACAGACATCCTCTTTTACCTATGGATGATTCAGAATCATGTTGTTAACTGACAAATGTTTGGAGCTTTTCCCATGGTCCCTCTTTTTATTAATTTCAGTATAATTCCATTATGGTCTGAGAAGCTGCTATATCCAATTTCCATTTTTCCTTTAAGGTTGGTTTTTGACCCAGGATCCAGTCTGTATTGGTGAGTGTTCCATGTATACTTGACAGGAATATGTACCCTATGGGCTGTCATCTGCCAACCTTGTGTAGATCCTTGCTGATACTGTCTACTCATCCTGTTACTAAGAGAAGAATGTTGAAGTATCCAACCATGGATTGATCCACTTCTCCATTCACTTCTCAGTTCTGTTTTACATATTTTGAAGCCCTATTGTTAGGGGCATAGAAATTAAGGGTTATTAACTCTTTTTGGTAAAATGCAAAACCAAACCAAACCCACAGCCATTGATTCAATTCTACCTCATAGAGATCCCACAGGACAGAGTAGAACTGCCCCGTGGGGTTTCCAAGGTGGTAAATCTTTATGGCAGTAGATTGCCCTATCTTCCTTCCATGAAGTGACTGGTGGGTTTAAACCTCCAACCTTCTGCTTAGTAGTCAAATGCCTTGGGCACTGTACCACTCAAGCTCCTTATTAATATAGCCATTCAATATTATTATATTATTCAATATTAATATAACCACTCCATTTTCTTTGGATTTGTGTTTGTGTGGTGTAATTTTTCAATCCTTACATTTGTAACTTACTTATATTTGAAATGAGTTTTTTTTTAGACAGCATATAGTCATCTCATGTTTTTTTACCATTACGACAATCTCTGTTTTAATTGTAGTGTTCAGACCATTGACACTTAAGGCACTTATTAACATACTGATTTAGATCAACCTTTTTATTATTTGTTACCTGATTTTCATTCCTGTTTCTCTCTCTTGTCTCCTTTTGGGTTATTTGAACATTACTTAGTATTGCAGTTTATTCTGTATAGTTCTTCCTGGTTGTTCTGTTGTTGTTGTTGCTATGGGCTGTTGAGTCGTCTCCAACTCAGAGCGACCCCTCCTTGGGTTTCCGAGGCGGTATCACTATGGAAATAGATTACCCAATCTTCCTTCTGAGCAGTGGCTGGTGGGTTTGAACTGCCAACCTTCTGGTTAGCAGTCAACTGCCTTAGGCACTATGCCACCAGAGCTCCTGGTTGGTTGTTCTAGGGATTATAAAACATGTCATTAACATTTCACAGTCCATGTGTTACAGTGTAGCTCTCTTTGAGTTTATTCCACTGGAGTTCATTAAGCTTCTTGGATGCGTAAATTCATGTCTCTCCAAAAATTTGGGAAGTTTCAGCCGTTACTTCTTCAAAATATTCTTTATGTTCTTTGCCTGGTTGCTGTAAACTTTTGATTAGTTTTGATAAAATTGGTTTGGACAGATTTTGCCAGATCATTCACTGCTTTTGCTGAGACAGGATTTTAGAGTTCCTCCAGCCACCATTTTTGCTGATGTCATTCACTCTGTTCACTCTTTTAGTCAATCTTTCTTTTTCTGTTTTCTTCAGATTGGATCATTTCTATTGATCTGTCATCAATTTACTCTTTGCTCTAACATCTCCATTCTGCTATCCAGTCCATCCAGTAAATTTTGTATTTGGTTAGTGTACTGTCCAGTTCTAAATTTGGCACTTGCTTATTCTTTATGGAGGAGCTCTGGTGGTGTAGTGCCTAAGGCACTTGACTGCTAACCAGAAGGCTGGTGGTTAAAACCCACCAGCCACTCTGCGGAAGACTGGGCAATCTACTTCTGTAAAGATTTACCGCCTCGGAAACCCAAAGGGGGTCGCGATGAGTCAGAGTTGACTCGATGGCAGTGGGTTTGACTTTTTTGGGGCTTTATTCTTTATGTCTTCTATTTATTTGCTGAGGCTTTCTATTTAAACATCTGTTGCAAAAGTGTTTGCAATTGCTTTTTTTGACATTATAGTCATAGCTGCTTTAAAGTCTTTATCAGATAATTCGGACATCTGTATCATCTTGGTGTTGACATCTGTTGATTAGCTTTTTTCCATGCAAGTTAAAATTGTCATGGTTTTTTATATGCTGCATAAATCTGGATTGTATCCCGGGTGTTCTGAATATTGTGTTAACAGCCACTGGAAGTAGTGGTTTTGTCATTAGGATCAGGTTCATGCATCCCTAGCTCATGGGCAAGCCCAGAAATTCATAAACTACTTTCCAAAGTTGCTTTCTCAAGATCCTCCCTTGGGTGCCTTCCCAGAAGCTACATCTGTTAGTTTTCCTTGCAGAAATCGGGCTTCTAGTTATTCCTCTATCGTGTGTCCGTCCCGGTTTGGCTTTTCATTCTCGAGGGCCAGGCCAGCAGCAGCACTAAGTAACACTGACAGAGCAAGGGGTTTTGTTTGTTTGTAAATTACCACAGAAGGAACAAATAACAGAAAAACAATAAAATTTACTAAAATCAATATCGAGAAAACAACAGGATGCTCTGAAATGAGCATAAGCAGAGAATAAGGAAAAACTCTTGTAAAGGAGAAATACAAAACAGTTGAAATAAACCTTTTTTTTTTAAAAAAAAAGGGTTAGAAGATAAAAGCAAAAGAAAAAAAAAGAACGAGAAAATATGAGTGAAAAGAGTCACTAAGGTTAATGTAGGACCTTTAGAAGTTACAGAAAAAGGGAAAACAGGGGAGGAATTATCTAAGTATAGAGAAAAGGATATGCAGCGTCGGTCTTGCTCAATTGCAGGAGAATGAAGGAAAGAGCTATTGGAGTGGAAGCCAGTGAAATAGTTCCTTATGCTGGGGCTTCAATTCCATGAGAGAGGAGGAGGACACTGGGTAAGTTAAGGAAGACGCTGGCCATGAGCAGACGGGTCCCTGCCAATTCCCTTGTGGGACTCTGAAAGGAAACCACCTGGGAATGTGGCCCCTAGCATATCTGAAATTGCAAAATAACACTGGCGGGTCACAAGAAAGTCCAGTTCACGCTTCCAAGACATCTTTCATTCTTATGTGGGGTGCCATTCAGTTGAGGACCAGTAATCTTGCCATGAAACCCATTATCACAAGAGCAACATGGCCTGGGTCAGGAGGTGAATGAGACATGTGGAAGAGACTCTTGAAGGTCTGTAACTCCACAGAAAGCCAAGGTGAATGCTGAGTTAGTAGGAGAGGCCACTGGATGGTGACGTAACCAAGAGAGAAGAACACAGGCAATGAAGCAAGAACAGGAGCACTTCAGATGCGCATGGGGGGGGGAGATGAAGAATGGGAAGGTATCCTCCCCAGACTGGTCCAAGCACTATGCCCCCTACTTTACAAACTCTAACAAGAAGCCTGCGCTGCAACGGTAAGCACCCAGCTGCTACCCGAGAGGTCGGCGGTTTAAACCTACGCAGCAGCTCCATGGGAGAAAGCCCTGTCGGTCTGCTCTGACAAAGATGACAGCCTGCAGAACCGTCTGGGCAGCTCTACTCTGTCACATGGGCTCACTCTGAGTCCAAATTGACTCGACAGCACCTAAGCATCAACACTAATAGCAGGCTTTTCTTAGAAGTGACTAATAGAGAAAGCACAAAGAACACACTTATGGTTACAACACAGACTCTAGATATTTGCAACCGTGAAAATATAAAGGTTTATGGTAAAATATAAACAACAACAGGGACTCCAAAGATACTGTCTGTTGTGTACAGGTGATAGCATAAATAAAGGGGTAAACTTGATCTAAGGTTGAAAAAGTAAGCAGCAGCAGAACAAAAGATAGTAACGTAACTGTATTGGAAAGACGGGGATGAGGTAGTTAAGTGAGCCAAAAGCCCACCCTGACATAACATTACCACAATAATGACAAGGGATAAGATCTAAAACTGGCAAATGAAGAAATACTATCAAAGTATATTCTATAGAGATACCAAAGTAAACACCAGAACTAAAACAAAATTAAGAGAAACAAGCCTTTCCTTTTGAAGACAGACTATTCTTTATAAACCCTTGTGGACTATTTGATAGCTTTATGCCAATTACTTTGATGAAAGTGTTAAAAATTAACGTTTCTTAACTAGGTAACACTTTTGCATGGTTCCACATTTCAAAGCTCTGAAAGTCTCCCTACCCTTTCCTTCCCTGTGCTCAGTTCCTCTCCGCAGAGGTGGCCCGATGTATGAGCAAATACGTGGGTGTGTGGCTGTATACATTTCTCCTCCACATCTGTTTACACAAAAGGGTCATATAGTGCACACTGTTCTTGCGCCTTGTCTTCCCGCTTTAACAATGGATGCTGGAGATACTTCTGTATTACCACCTCATAGGTTGTTTCTGTATATTTATGAATATAGATGTTGTTGTTTGTTGTTATGCGCCATCAAGTCGGACCCAACTCATAAATGAATATAGATGCATCCCCATTATTTAATCAGTTTGGTACCAAGTGGCATCTATACCAAATGAACTGTTAAGTGACACAAGAAAACGTAAGACAGTCTGCTTGTCTCCCAGTTAGACAGTGGACTTGGTTTTGATGTCTGTATCCTCAGTATCTCCCATGGTGTCTGGCATATAGTAGGTATTCAGGAAAGATGTGCTAAGTGAAGCTGATTGAGTTAAAATCAGGAAACTAACCTACATAAACATTACATGAGATACTTTATTTCGGAAATCTAGGCTGTGGCACAACAAAGACAAGCATCCATACAAATCTGTCATCCTCTGTCTGCACGCTCAGTCTTCCACAGTCGGCCAGAGAAAGGCAAAGGAGATGTGCAATATGACTGCAGCCTGATGAGGCTGCTCCTACTACCCCAGCTCCCTAGAGCCCCAGGTTCAAATTCCTCACAGAGACATTACTAAGTAGAGGCAGACTAGCTAATTCTTAGTGTCTTATCAGCTGAAAAGGAGATAAAGTGAAACAAAAAGCAACCCATTCCCTATGTTGGAGATTAGCCCGTGAACGTGTGCACACTTTTCTGTCATACTTACTCTGAGCTCTTTTGGGCCTGTATGGACTGGAAGCAAGTGTAGAGGACCCGGCCAGTCTAGAAACAAATGGAAAGAAATGTCACACAAGCAAGGATGCAGATTAAGAAAGCTGAAGCAACTTAGTGGGCTTTAACCTCAAACCCGAAGCCTACCCTTGGCAGTGTAAGGCAAAAGAGATTGCCAAGAAGAAATATGCCATCAATCAGTTGCTGTCTTATGTTCAGTCAACAGGCGATGCTACAACAAACAGCAGCAGCGGGAACACTCAAACTGCTATGTGGGGAGCTCACAAACTTACTCAGCTATTCACAGTGAAAATAACTGTACGATGACAAAGAAAAAGCATCGAAAACGAAAGTGAAAAGCTCAAGCACTGAACTGTAAGCTTCCCAGCAAAGAGTGATTTTATGGACATTTGTCATTAAGCACATTATGAGAATGTAACGAATGTACTAAATGATAGGCCACTCTTGATATTCTTGGCAAAATTTATACCTATGGTGTTAAATGGTCACATGAAGCACTCTAGAGAAAGCCAAGTGTAGCCATGGACCAAGTTTACCAGCCTCAGTTTCCGCAGCCATAATGTGGGGATGACAAGGCTTACCTCGTTAGGTCGGCGTCAAGGTTACAGCTACCAGTGCTAGATGGTAGCACCTGTTACTATTATTAGCTATCAAAATACATGCAGGACCAATGACTTTTCACCACCTCCACCGCTACCACCGATCCTGGCCTCCCTCACCCCACTTCAGTCTGTTACCACCACAGAGTCAAAGCCAAGGCCTGACAAGATTTGGCCCATTTATCCTACTGACCTCATCTGTAAGAAAAGCAGAGGAGTTACTGTCTAAGTCGGGACACTTCTGAGAGTGGAAGGAGGTGCTCACTGAGCGGTAGGGTGACCGGGTAACACCGGGGCTGCTCAAGGCACCTGTCTCGCTCCCTCTGCTTCACTAGCCTGCAGCCACAATGGCTTCCTCAATGTTCCTTAGGGGCCCAACTCACACGTCTGCTTCTCATAGATACCTTCCCTGGCTACCCTAGTAAAATTGCAAAGAGATTTTTTTTTCCTACTCTGTGTGTGTGTATAAGCGCACACACACACAATACCTTTGTGTTTTTATCTTCTATGAAACAGGAAAAAATCAGCCCTACAAAGCCTTGATCCATCATCTGGTACATGGCTTGTGTGCGAACATCTGCAAATAAAAATAAAAATCTTCTGTCAATAAAGTGTACCTCACAAACTTGAAGATTTTAAAATTGGGCTATACCATCTTCTCTGGACTTGAGTCTACATGAAGAACAGGGCTACATATCTGCTAAAGACAATATGACTGTCAAAGTAAAAGCATTTTACTAGGTGAGGGAACTTATAACATTCCACACAATTATCCATTTATTACGCTTATTGTGTACTAGGCTCTCAGTAAATCTTTGCTTAATAAATGATATATTATTTAGTTGGTTCTGTCTACTCTCGAGCATGTAAGCTCCATGAAGTGATTTAGTCCATTAATTGCTGTGTTGCCTATACTTATAACTCTGGGTGGAAAGTGGAAATTTTCTATATACGGATTTGAAAGAGGCCTGGTTGCACAGCAGTTAAACACTCAATTGCTAACTGAAAGGTCTACGGCTTGAACTCAGCTTGGACTCATGAGCCACTCTGCCAGAGAAGTGAGGCAATCTGGGAAGACTGACAGCCCTGGAGACCCTGTGGGCAGTTCCACTCTGTCCTCTAGGGGCGCTGTGGGTCAGAATGGACTCCACGGC